TCCTTCTACAGCACCTTCTAGCCCACCTCCAGATACTCCTCCTTCAACAACTACTCCTGTAGCTCCAGACACTCCTACAACAACTACAACTTTAGCTCCAAATACTCCGTCCACTACTACTAGTACGACTACAACACGGCCGTCTACTGAATCTTCTTCAGTCATACCGCCAGTAGATCCCACATCTGGTAAGTGAGCAAGCAGGATTTTCTGGAATTAGCTGGAATGATTTTTCTTGCAGCTCGTCCCTATATTCCCTGCTGGTTGTACTGGTGGGAACCCTGCTGGGACCCTCACCACCATTGAGCCGTGAGGCAGCAACCCACATGCATCGTACTCAGGGATTTTGTCAACTTGCTAGATTTGATTAAATTATTTTTCTTGTATGTGGGTGTTTTCTTTTCTTCAGCCCTAAAGTGAGTTTTGAGCTTGCTGGCACAAAACGAACGTTTGGGAGCCTTGAAGGTGTGAAAATTTTAAGTCGCTGCTTGCTGATGTTTGGAAATGAGGCGAGAGGACCGAATGGGAAACATTTTCAGTCATGTTTCAGGAGCGGGATTTAAAAATTTGCCAGAAATGAGGGAAGCGTTAGTTTACAGCGGAACTTTTGGGATTTGTAAAGTGAAGTGTTTTCTATCACTGGTGAAAACTTGAAGTTGGTACTTGATTACGTTTGGAAGTGAACCATCAAAGAAACCAGACGTGCCGAAAGGAAACTGTCTAGTTTCTGGGCACTTTTGGAAACTGTGTCAAAAATCGAGCTTTCGCTTGTTTAGGATGAAACTTTCCGGATTGATAGATTCAAGTTTCCTCTATAAGACACGAGAATTTCAAGTCGCTACTTGATCGTCTTTAAGAGTGAGCCATTTGAGAATGCAGACGCGACGGATGCAAAACAGTCAAATTTCTAGGGCAGATTTTGAAAAATTATGAAAAACGCAGTTGGCTCGGGTTTAGAACGAAACTTTTCAGATTCATAGATTTAACCTTCTTGTATCACGGGTGAGAATTTCAAGTCGCTACTGCGTCACATTTAAAAGTAAGCCGTTTCGAAATAGAGGCGCGCTCAATGAAAAACACTCTAGTTTTAGGCAGATTTTGAAAAATTGTAAAAAACCGAGCTGGTACAGCTTGAGAATGAAACTTATCGAATTTTTAGATTAGAGTTTCTTCTACAACTTGTGCAAACTTCAAGTAGCTACCTGGTCACAGTTAAAAGTAATCGATTTTAGAATGCAGACACGCCAAATGAAAAACAGTCTAGTTTCGGCGCAGATTTTCAAACAATGACAAAAATCTAGCTCGAGCTTGTTTAGAATGAAACTTTCCGCGTTGATAGATTCAGGTTTCCTCTATAAGACGCGAAAATTTCAAGTCGCTACTTGATCGTCTTTAAAAGTGAGCCATTTGAGAATGCAGAGGCGACGGATGCAAAACAGTGAAGTTTTTAGGGCAGATTTTGAAAAATTATCAAAAATGCAGTTGGCTCGGGTTTAGAACAAAACTTTTCAGATTGATAGATTTAACTTTCTTGTATAACCGGTGAGAATTTCAAGTCGCTACTGGTTCACACTTAAAAGTAAGCCGTTTGGGGATAGAGGCGCGATAAATTAAAAACACTCTAGTTTTTAGGCAGATTTTGAAAAATTGTAAAAAATCGAGCTGGCACAGCTTGAGAATGAAACTTATAGGATTTCTAGATTAGAGTTTCTTCTATAACGTGTGTAAACTTCAAGTAGCTACCTGGTCGCACTTAAAAGTAATCGATTTTAGAATGCAGACACGCCAAGTGAAAAACAGCCTAGTTTCGGCGCAGATTTTCAAACAATGACAAAAATCGAGCTCGAGCTTGTTTAGAATGAAACTTTCCGGGTTGATAGATTCAGGTTTCCTCTATAAGACACGAGAATTTCAAGTCGCTACTTGATCGTCTTTAAAAGTGAGCCATTTGAGAATGCAGACGCGACGGATGAAGAACAGTCCATTTTCTAGGCTCGGGTTTAGGGGCAGATTTTGAAAAATTATCAAAAATGTAGTTGGCTCGGGTTTAGAACAAAACTTTTCAGATTTATAGATTTAACCTTCTTGTATAACGGTTGAGAATTTCAAGTTGCTACTGCGTCACATTTAAAACTAAGCCGTTTCGAAATAGAGGCGCGCATAATGAAAAACACTCTAGTTTTAGGCAGATTTTGAAAAATTGTAGAAAATCGAGCTGGCACAGCTTGACAATGAAACTTATCGGTTTTCTAGATTAGAGTTTCTTCTATAACGTGTGTAAACTTCAAGTAGCTACCTGGTCACAGTTAAAAGTAGTCAATTTTAGAATGCAGACGCGTCAAATGAATAACAGTCCAGTTTTGGGGAAGATTTTCAAACAATGACAAAAATCGAGCTCGAGCTTGTTTAGAATGAAACTTTCCGGGTTGATAGATTCAGGCTTCCTCTATAAGACACGAGAATTTCAAGTCGCTACTTGATCGTCCTTAAAAGTGAGCCATTTGAAAAGGCAGCGCGGCAGATGCAACACAGTCAAGTTTCTAAGGCAGATTTTGAAAAATTTTCAAAAACGCAGTTGGCTCGGGTTTAGAACAAAACTCTTCAGATTCAGAGATTTAACCTTCTTGTATAACGGGTGAGAATTTCAAGTTGCTACTGCGTCACATTTAAAAGTAAGCCGTTTCGAAATAGAGGCGCGCTAAATGAAAAACACTCTAGTTTTAGGCAGATTTTGAAAAATTGTAAAAAATCGAGCTGGCACAGCTTGAGAATGAAACTTATCACATTTCTAGATTAGAGTTTCTTCTATAACTTGTGCAAACTTCAACTGGCTGCCTGGCCACAGTTAAAAGTAGTCGATTTTAGAATGCAGACGCGCCAAACGAAAAACAGTCTAGTGTTTGGGGCAGATTTTGAAAAATTGTCAAAAATCCACATGGCTCTTGTTTCCAATGAAATTCATAGAGTTTCTACACTTCAGTTTCTTCTATGACATGTGAGAATTTCAAGTAGCTGCGCTCTTGCTGTTGGAAGTGAGACACTTTAGAGGGCAGAGGCGCAAAATAGACAATAGTCCAAGCACCTACGCAGGTTTTGAACGTGCACCAGTCTTCCTGGTAAAACTTAAAATATTGAAGAAACTTCAAAGGAAGCTTTATGCGTCACAGTGGCGGAAATTGCGGAAGATATGGAAGAAGGGCCAATATCAAAAGAAGAAAATTGAGTGCCCAAATTCAGCCACTCCCTTTGGAATCGCTTTGGAATCTCCGCTAAGTAAAATCTTCCATTATAATATCCGCAAGATTAAACTGAAGAAGTGAGCAACAGAGCGAGAATCTTTAAGACCAATCTATGGCTTCAGGAAGGCGAGAAGAGTCACTTCAGGCAGATAGTGACCGTTTGAAGATGGTCAGAAAGCGATTGAAGATTGGGGTCTGTTGCCCTGTTAAAAAGTCTTCTAGAAGATTTTGAGTCACATTTATTAGTGGATCAGCGCCTCATCGAAGATAACACGCTTATCTAATACCGACTTTATGCTTGACATGTCAACTATGCCCAGGTGCTCGAGTTTAATCGTATCTTGATGTGAATGATTGTATGCCAATTAAGTTTCGATCACACATTATGTAAAATCGAACACAATTATTATTAACTTATATTGATGAGTCTAATCGATTTGCTACGTCATGCTACGATAGATTTTTGTGCGTGAACGGATTTTTGGCACAAAAAATGCCCAGAGATTTAACTGCAAATGGCTTGAGAAGCTGGAAGTTGGGAAAACAATGCCTGAGGGCGATTCCTGACCTTTAATATCACAGGGATTTTTCGCCGATAATCCTGTTCGGCGTATCTAACTAACAAAAACATGTCAGTTTTGATTGTTGATTGAGATTTTGCAATATTTGCAAAGCGATCATCATCATAATTTATTTTTAAACTGATGTCGGTTTTTGTTTGTCTCAATCATGCTATCAAGACAATTTCAACAAATCATGTTTAGGCTGGAAATTTGCGCGCTTTAGAAGCTTCCTATGAATCACTGAGAAAAGTACAAATAATTTTAAATAATAATAACAAAATTAAGTTAACAAAGAAACACTTTTTCGGTTTGATTGCTAATTGCTTTCATTAAAGCACGGCTTACTTGCGTTAAGCTTTGGCTTAAAGTCGGTGTGAGCCTAAAATGACGATTTAGTACCGACAATTTTTTGCTCTTAATATGAATCTCACAATTTGGAGTAAAATTCCTCCTTACGATTAAAATTTTTT